ACTTACTCGTCCTACCATTTTGTTATTTTCTGGTTGTTTTGTGGTTTTCCCTTCCATCCTGTCTTCCTTTTAAGTGAAGAAGAGTTTTCTCTAGTGGCATGTTTTTATTTCTTGCTTTTTACATTTTGTGTATCTATCTTCTTATTTGAGGCTACCATGAGGTTTACAAACACTATAACCTGTTATTTCAAAGAGACAACCTTGGTTGCATAAACAAGAAAGCAAAGAGAAAACTAATTAAAAACTCTATACTTCATCTCTTAATCTTCTCGTTGTTTCTGTTTATATCTCATTATACTGTTGATGTCTTAAAGTTATTATGGTTATTTTTGCTTAGTAACTAAAAGTCTGTTTTTAGTCTTTTTATTCAAGATGCAAGTAGTTCATACACCACAATTACAGTATTATAATAGTTTTGTGTTGGTCTGTACTTAGTTTTATGCCTTCAGATGGTTTTTCTGGCTAGTTAAGGTCCTCTTCTTTCCAGTTGATAAATTCTCTTTAGCATTTCTTGTAGAACAGGTCTGGTGTTGATGAAATCCTACAGCTTCTGTCTTGGAAGGTCTTTTATCTTTCTTGGAAGGATATTTTCACTGGATGTACTATCCTAGGATAAAGGGCATTTTCCTTCAGCACTTTAAATAAGGCATGGCACTCTCTTGGCCTGTAAGTTTTCTGCTGAGAAGTCTATTACTAGTTATGAAGCTTTTTGGAATGTATCTTTTCTCTTGCTGCTTTTAGGATCCTTTCTTGATCCTTTACTTTTGAGAGTTTGATTATTAAATGTCTTGATGTAGTCGTCTTTGAGTGTTCTACAACCTCTTGTATTTGAATATTGATATCTTGTCTTAGCTTTGGAAAGTTCTATTATCTCTTTGAATGAACTTTCTACCCTGATTTCTCTCCCTCCTATCTAAGACCTATAACACTTAGATTTGTCCTTTATAAGCTACTTTCTAGCTTTTGTGGGTATGCTTGCTTTCTTGATTTTTTTTTTTTTTTTTTGTCTCCTCCTGTACTTTCAATTAGCCTGTCTTCAAGCTCACTAAACCTTTCTTCTGCTGGATTAATTCTGCTGTTCAGACTCTGATGCATTCTTCAATGTCGATTTTTTTCGATGCCAGAATTTCTGCTTGATTTTCAAAAAATTATTTAAATCTCTTCATTAAATTTATCTGATAGGATTCTGAATTTATTGTGTTACCTTGGATTTTGTTGAGCTTCCTCAAAACAGCTATTTTGAATTGTGTCTGTGAAGGTCATGTATCTGTTACTCCACAATTGGTCACTGGTGCCTTTTTTTTTTAAGTTCTCTTGGTGAGATCATGTTTTCCTGGATGGTCTTGATACTTGTGGATGTTCGTCTGTGTATGGGCAAGTCTGTGTATAAAGAGTTGTGTATTTACTATAGTATTCACAATCTGCTCGTTTGAACCCATCCTTCTTGTGAAGGCTTTCCAAATATCGAAAGAGAATGGAGTGTTGAATATAAGTCTTTTGGTACTACAGCCATATCTGTATTAGGGGGCACCCCAAGCCAAGTAATGTTTTAATTCTTGTAGACTAATACTCAAGACCACCAAGGTGGGACCTCTAAGATCCAAGAGAATTTTCTAGATTACTCTTGTTCTCTTCCCTTACTCTCCCCCACCTTCCGCACCTCCACAGGAGTCTGTCTCCATGCTGAGCTGCTTGGAGCTGGGGGAAGGGATGACATAAGCACTCCTGTTACCACCACCATTGCTTCTGTGCTGTGTCAAACCTGAAGCCATCATAGCACTGGGTCTCACCCAAAGCAACCACTGCCTAATGATGGTGTTTAGTCAGTGTGCAAGAACTTTTAAGACAGCAGGTGGCAAATCCAGCAAGGCTTGTGTCCTTCCCTTCAGAGCAGTGAGTGCCCTTGAGGCCCAGGGCAGGTCCAGGATTGCCATCTAGGCGCCAAGTCCTGAAGTTGTATCTTTATGAATCTATTTGGTGCTCTATTCTACTGTGGCAGAGCTGGCACCCAAGCCACAATACAAAGTTTGTCCCATTCTTCCTGTCCCTTTTCATAAGCAGAGGAATCACTCAAGGTCCAAGAGCTTTTTAGTTAAGTAGTAGTAAATGCTGCCAGGCCTGGGTCTCTTCCTTCAGTGCAGTGGGTTCTCCTCAGGCCCCAGGTGAGACCCAGTGCTATGCATCCAGATATGCCATCCAGGAGCCAAGGCCTGCAATCGGAGACCCCAGGAGCTTGCTTGATGATCTACCTGATTGTGGTTGAGCTAGTACCCAAGCTGCAAGACAAAGTGCACTCTATTGCCTCTCCTTTCCAAAAGCACAAGGAGTATATCCCCACGGCAACCACACTTGGGAATGTCCTGGGCCACACCCAAAGATAGCTTGGCTCTGAGTCTTACCCAAGACTTGGTGAATACTACCTGGCTACTGCTGCTGCTTATTCCAGACCCAAGGACCCCTTTAGTCAGCAGGTGATGAATTCTACCAGGACTGGATTCTTCCCTTGAAGGTAGCAAGTTCCCTTCTGGCCCAGGGTGTATTTAAGAATGTCACTCAGGAGCCCAGGCCTGGAATGGGGGGGTCTCAGGACTCTGCCTGATGCCTCATTCTACTGTGTTTGAGCTTGTGTCTAAGTTACAAGACAATGTCCTCTTTACTGTCCCTATCCTCTCAAGTGGAAGGAAGCAGTCTCTCTCAAAGTTGTCAGCTGCACTGCCAGGGGTTTAGAGGATGGGGTGGTATAAGCACTGGTGTCTTACTAGGTTGTGTGCTCACCAAGTCCCCTGACTTTGAGTCTGGCGCAGCACCAAGACTTGCCCAGGAATTGCAGTTTTTGTAGCCGGGACTCCCTTTGAAGTTTATTTAGGATCCCAAAGTACTTGAGCTCACAGCGGTGAGACTAGCTGGAACTCAGGTTCTAACTGCTGAGATGGGTGATAAGCTCCCTGGATAGGGCTGGTCTGAAATGTTTCCTCCACGGGCACTTAATGAACTCTGCCCTGTGTTGCTTCCCACTGTGACAGGGCAGCACTGGGTTCCAGTGCTACGTCCCACAATCCTGCGTCCTCCCTCCTGCAAGCACACAGATGGTCTACATATGACATGGTCTCTGCCAGGGGATGGGGGAGGGGTGGTGTTGGCAATTTGTAATTGTCTTTCCTACCATCTTCAGTGCCTCTTTCCTTGATATGATATTAAAATCAAGTACTGTGATTTGCTCACTTGGTTTTTTTGGTTCTTCTGTAGGTGTGTGCTTGTGTGGATATCTGTTCAATTTGGTGTTTCTGTAGCAGCGGTAGCGGGAAAGATGATTGCTGGAAGGTTCTGTTGGACCGTCTTGTTCTTCCTTCCTCCTAGTAAAGCTACTTTTTAAAAATTCTAGCATGTTAGGGTTTTGTGTTCTTTTTCCCATGGAATTTTAAAATGGATCTATTTGAGAATTTCAAAAGAATAACTCATAGTTAATTTTTGTTTAAGTATATATGTGGCTAGATTCACAAAGCTGGGTACACAGGGACTGGTTGACTGCAGGGATCATTGTTGTCTGTGTGAAGTACCCAGGCATTGACAGGTCTTGTCATTGAAATGGCTACCTAGTTGTAGGAATAGTCTATGATCCTATGTCTTTAATCGTGGAAGTTTCAGAAGTTTCAGGGATGTCTTTTGCCTGGAAACCAGGGATTTTCTTGACTTGTGTGAAATTCAAAGTTTATGTGTGATCCAAGAAGTATATGAAAAAGAGCACAGTCACCCAAAGGCTAATGTTAGACCCATCACCTGACATTTTTTGGAAAGTATTTCTTGATCCCAAGGCTTGAGTGTTCCCACTGTTCATGTTCTTTAGTCCTTTTCAATGCTTCTATGTAATAGTACCTTTTAGGAATATTTTCTCTGCTGGACTCTAAGTTCTATAGGGTCTGGGCCTGTGTCTGATGTACTAGGATATGATTTAGTACCTAGCTCAGGTTTATTCATGCTCAATATGTCTGTGACTGATTAAATAAGGGATTTCTAGATAACTTAGGTGATGAAAAATCTGGGAATTACCTCATGGGGATTGTAGGGTTTTAACCAGAAAACGATTTGGTAAAATATGATAAAGACAAATGTTTGAAAGATAATCAAATAGTAGATTATAAAAGGACAAGGAAGGCAACATAAGATTTGAAAGAACAAGAACCCAGAATTAGACAGATCTGAGACACAATTTTGGCTTTACCCCATTCTAGTTTCATGACAAACAGCCACATACTTAACCTCTAAGTGTCTCATGTAAGATGAGTATGTTACTACTAATCTCAGAAATGCCACAACGGTTGTGAAATCCACTCACTTAACAGTCTCTCTCGTGAGTATTTACTTCAAAAATGTTAAACATTATTTATTGACTCTTTTTCCTTAGTATAATTCCTGAGCCAAAGAACTTAGTAAAATCGATGAAAAGCTCTCACAGGCTTGTTTCAAACCTAATTAAACCTGATATTCCTAAAATTTGAGTTATCCAGTAGGAGCATAGGTCATTCTGAATCAGCATGCCAAACGTGTATGCACAGCAAGCATGTTCTCAGTGATGAGGATGTTGAATACTCTGACTGTATATTCCAAGAATGGTTAAATTTTATGTACCCACCCAGGTAGATTTGTGTGGTCTTTGCTGCTTTGCGTATTTACTTTTCCCTTTACCCCTAACTGCCTGATCATTCCTATTTTTTTTCTCTCCTTCACAGAATCTATATTCATTTAAGTGAATTAATCAGATCACTTAGGCTATAAATCTCCTATCTTGCTATTCAAAATAATTCAAATAGACTTGATCTATGATCAAATTTTTAAATTTTTTTTTGTCATTTGAACTTTCCTTTTTTCATCCATCATCTTTGGTAGATAATTATACACACTAATTATCCTTAAATATAACTTTAGTTTTCAAAAGGCAGAATCGTGAAAATATCATTGGAAGTGTGCTTTGTTACATTGAGTATATATTTTTTTTATTTCAGTTTGGGAAGCAGCATATAGAGAACCTCTTCAGTGACCTACAGGATGGGAGACGCCTCCTAGACCTCCTCGAAGGCCTGACAGGGCAAAAACTGGTATGTGACTTAATTTTAAGAAAGTTAACTTTAACCTTAGTAGAATTTCAGACCAGAAACTGAAAACATAGTTATATGAGATCTAGTAAAATTAACTTACTAAGTGCTGATTGAACTAGCAATACCTATTCCTTTTAGTAAAGCAACCTCGTAGGATTTTCATTTGGCATAGTCTACCACCTGCAGAAAAATAAGGTAAAAATTTCAGTAATACAATTTATATTAATAGATATTACTCAATTTTACTACTTGGTATCTATCTTATCAAATATCTTAAGGCTTTTATACATAATGACTTGAAAAATTATCTTTGTACTTTTGTGTATTTTGAAGTTATTTTACAATGAACCTGTATTTATAAATGTGGGGATAGCATAATAAAGTACAGGCATTATAGTGTAATACGTGACAGCATATGTGATGAGAATATCACTTCCTCCTGAACTGTTATCTTGTCTAATTTCACAGAATTCCTGTGAAGATACATGATTGTGATATACACAGTTACAGATCAATTAATTCATGCTGATCAAGATCTTACACTGGGGGCGGGAGAGAGGGGGAGAACAACTCAAATTGAAATCCCCTGAAATAATCTTCTTAGATTGCTATTCTAAAAAGTAGAGTTTAAGCCCCCAGTCTACAGTCATAAATAACTGTTCTACCTATCAAATTCTGCTAAATTATTGCCTTCATCTCTTATCTTTGCCCTTCATTACAACTCCCCAGCACATGCACAGACACACACACAGGTTTTGTTTTATTATACAAACTGAAGCTGTCGTCCAAAGTCAATTAGCAAAAATGCTATCTCCCCCAACCTGCTTCCTATAACTCTTAGGCTAAGCCACTTTTTTCTCAGTATATACCGTCAGGTATCTCTGGGTTTTTGCCTATATTGTTTTACTTGCCTCCATTTCTTTCTGTACTTCTGTCTACCCAAACAGTCTCCCAGAAACCTTGATTTCTCCTCAGTAAAGCTTTTCCCACATTACCTCTGCTGATTTTTTTTTTCCCTCTCAAATTCCACAGAATGCCCATTTTGTCTTGTTTTTAGTGTATGACTGACATCCCTTCTCAATTAAATCCTGAAGTCCTATAGAGAAGAGACATCCCTTATGCTTTCATTTATTATCTTCAAGTATGTGAGATTAATATTAAAACTGATATATTTTCAAGAAGTCTGAACTTGTACTAATATAAGAACAACTTGATGACATATTGAAATAATAACTTCAGTCAAGGGGAAAAATCAGATTTATTGCCTTATAGCTGAACTGTTTGCTTTGAGCCAATTTGAGGTCATCGTGTAAACTTAGTCTTAATTTCACTAGTTAGAGATACATTTGTGTATAATTCATCTCCTATGTGAACAATTTACATATATATATGGATATGTAATATATTTATAGAAATCAGTGTGTCTCTGTGTATATCATTTCTCCTGAATGCTGGAGTCAGTCCTACTTTCGGTTACCGAATACTAGAAGTCCCAGTGTCTTCCAAATGTTCATGAAAAATCTTTCAAAGATTATGGCTTACTCAGCCTGTCCTGGCCCTCTGTATGAGTCTGTTGTCTCTTCACTTCCAAGTATATCTGCATAATCACTTCTCCTGTGCTACAATCCTTCCTGGTCATTTTCCTGACTGAGTCAACCCATGTATCACCCAAAGAAATTTTGTTAGAGTTAACACATTTCATACAGACATAATGTTTAAGATAATTTCAGATCCTTTTGTAATTCATAAGCATGATTTGGGTGTTTATACTCAGATTTGAGATATGCCTTCCTCTAAACTTAGGATGTTGGCACACTACCCATCTGATATGAAGAAAAAATAATTTTGGCAAAATTAAAAAATCCACATGATTTTCATTTATGCACATACATACGTAGACACTAATACAAAATGAACCTAATTAGTAATAGCACTAAAGAAAAAAGTATCAAACAAAATATCCATGAGATTGGCCAGGTAGGGAAAAATCACCAAACATTTACACATGCCAGTATAGATTACATAATTTCAGATACTGCTACTAACAGAATTCGTACACCATTGTTTGTCCTAATCACAGACCTGTCAGCCATGGTCTGAGGATCTTGCCTTTCCCGTAAAGCAGAATCACCTCTCTAACGAATGCTTCCAATCCCACGACTCCAATTCTGTATACCTTGTCTTGAATTCTACATTTCTAGAGAGATACATCTTCTACTCCTAATGGGAGTCATGTATACTATTGGACAGAAACTTTTAGTACTCTACTCAGAAGCATCTGCATTTGGATTATTGGCTCAGAGTATCCCCAGGGTTAAAAGGAAGGTACTTGCCTTAAAATCATAAAATTGGAAATACTCCTCAAGGAGACTCTAATAGGGGCAGATTTTAAGTTCCCACTTCAGGATCAGAAACTGCAGCTTTTAAAAGAGACTATCTTTGGTTCTAATACATATGCACATGTGTACATTTAATGTGAGTATGATATACAAAGGAGAATGTTGCTAAATCTTATGACTATAATTATGTAACTGATTAAAAGGAAATATATGGCTTTTGTCTACTGGGCAGAGGATGGATCTGAGTAATTATTTTCAAAACTTTAAGTCCTATAATTACCATTAAACTTGTGTGCTATCTGTATATACATAAGATGATTGGTTATTTGCTGCTTTTCTTTCACACTTTTTGTTTTTTTTGGATGGAATCTTATTCTGTCGCCCGGGCTGGAGTCAGTGATATGATCTTGGCTCACTGCAACCTCTGCCTCCTGGGTTCAAGCAATTCTCCTGCCTCGGCCACTACAGGCATGTTCTACCATGCCTGGCTAAGTTTTGTATTTTTAGTAGAGATGGGGTTTTACCATGTTGGCCAGGCTGGTCTCGAACTCCTGACCTCAAGTGACCCACTTGCCTCAGTCTCCCAAAATGCTGGGATTACAGGTGTGAACCACCATGTCCGGCTGTTGCTTTTTTTGTCTTTCTATGGCCTTATTTTTCTTCCTCTTTTTGGTGGAAAGTGGGGAAAATATCAGAATATAAACCAATATCATTCTAACATTCTTGGAGGAAAATCTAAGAGGTAAAAATGGAGATTCTGGTTCATAAGGTTAGCCTTAATGTTTTATGAAATCAAAGGAATGAGATATCAATACTGTGTTATAAAGGATATCAGGCAAGTCACCTTGGAGAGGAAGATGGCTTTAGCTTAATTTGGGTTGTTCAGCAGGCAGTGCAAATGATAAGGAGTTGTAGGGTAAGGAACTACTTGAGAAAGACCAGGAGTATTGTTGGAAAGTATAGGAGTTAAATGCAAGAAATAGAAATAGATTATTTGTTTGGTACATACACAAGGTAGGTAGAGAAGAAGGAAATAAATTTGCAAGACTTGGGCTCTACAGACATAGACAAAAGTTTGGGTCCTGGCTCCATCAATGATTAGTTATATGGTAATCTATATATTGGATATTTTAACCTGAGGTTCACTTCTGTACAATGGGGATGAAACTAACTGCCTTGCAAGACGGGGATTAAAGGTAGTGCATTCAAAGTACTTGGCACATACTACAAAATCAATAATATTAATATTGTACCAAATATGTGTGACAAGCACCAATCTAAGTGCCTTATGCATATTAACACACTAAATCCTCCCAGAAACCATATGTACAATGGTTTGAGCAATATGAACAATAACTAGTGCCCTGGACAAGGTCTGGATGCTGTGAGACAGCATGCTTCATGTTTGAGTGAGGGCTTTGGCCCCAAATGCAGAGAAGAAAGTATCTCAAATTCTCTTGTGAATCAGAGCAGTTCTTATTGAGAGCACAGGTTGTAATTTGTGTATGTCTCTTGCTAATATTTTTATTAAGTCCATTCTTAACAGATGAGAAAACTGGTATACAGAGAGATTAAATTTTTTACATAGGTCACACAGCACAAAAATGGCAGAGCTGAAAATTGAACCCAGACAGCCAGCTTTGTAGCTCTTGCCCTTAACTGTTGACTATAATCACCCAAATGTTTAGATGAGAACTTTGCAAGTGGTTTGCATTGGCAGAGGGCTTACTTCAGGAACATCATTGTTGACGATATGCAGGAAGGATGAAACAAATGGTGAGTGAGAAGAGAAGGGAATGAGGTTATATTTTTCTGGGCAATAGCTAATAAGGGCTTTGGTAGTAAGGTGAAAGAAATGAAAATAAAAAGTAAATACAACAGGTATCATAATGGTAGAATTTCTAAAACTGTACAACTTAATAAATGAGTTAATTTGTATATTGCAATGAACGAACTATGCAGATGTTGGTTTAAAAATTACAGGATAAGATACAACTCGGGCTTGAGAATAAAATTAGGGAACCAAAGATGATTGAGGTTTAGAGCTTCAATGACAAGGACAATTAAGGTAATCTTTGCAGAAAAGGTTTATTTAACCCTATTTGGCATTATATAATTTTGCTAGAGTCAAATCTTCTTTAAATTTTCCTGAAAAGTTTGGGAATTAACTTGTATTTCTATCTTACTAGAAGATGTTTTTATTCATGCTGATGTTTCTCTCATTGGTGGTCATGCAGTAATCCCCAACTGAGCTGTAGAATGAACAATCATACCAAAATAGTCTTTGTAAAGAAAAAGTGTTGTCATTCTTACAGAGTGGTTGGTTTATGCTAAAAATCTACCAGGCCAAGGACGATTAGCCCAAAGTATTTAGATTCATGATATTAATGCCTCACAGGCTGTGTTCATTTACAATATTCAAACTTAATAGTGAAATTCATAAATGGTTTCATTTCTAATAGATTGTCGGTCTCTCTGCTGGTCAGTGAACACTGTTTTGTCTTGTTCGCAGCCAAAAGAAAAAGGATCCACAAGAGTTCATGCCCTGAACAATGTCAACAAGGCACTGCGGGTTTTGCAGAACAATAATGTAAGTAGTGCCCTGGACAAGGTCTGGATGCTGTGAGACAGCATGCCTCATGTTTGAGTGAGGGCTTTGGCCCCACATGCAGAGGAAGTATCTCGAATTCTCTTGTAAATCAGACCGGTTCTTATTTGAGAGCACATGTTGTAATTCGTGTATGTCTGATTGTGGCTAATATAATTGAGGAAGCAAATGCATGCTGCCACAGAGGGAAGGGAAAGGCATAGACCAGGCCTGATAGGCTGCTCTCTGTTTTCAGATTTTACTTCATGCAGCTGTGTTTGGACAAAGTCCTGCAGTGAACTCGGTTTCTTTTTCTTTTTCTTTTTTTTTTTTTTTGAGATGGAGTCTCCCCAGGCTGGAGTGCAGTGGTGCGATCTCGGCTCACTGCAATCTCCGCCTTCCGGGTTTAAGCTATTCTGTCTTCCTGTCTCAGCCTCCTGAGTAGCTGGGATTACAGGCACATGCCACCATGGCCAGCTAATTTTTTGTATTTTTATTAGAGACAGGGTTTCACTATGTTGGCCAAAGCTGGTCTCGAAGCCTGACCTCAGGTGATCCACCTGCCTCAGCCTCCCAAAGTGTTGGGATTACAGGCGTGAGCCACCATGCCCAGTGAACTCAGTTTCTTATAGCAGTGCTCGGTGCAACACATGGATTTTACTATACCAAATATTGATATACTAAGTGTGGTCAAACCTGATAATGACGTTTGTTTAAATCAAGCCAACACTTATTAAATGTTGTCTCCAAGCATATAAATTATACAGAAACATCAGTATTTTTTACTTGGGGTAAGAATGACAGATTTGTTTTCTATTTTTGGTTTATATTTAACTGGATTAAAATATGTATGTTGTATTAGAAGAAGTAATCACAGCTAAACCAAGTAGGCAGGTCAGAGTTCTAATCTCCTCTGAACCACTTGGTGGTTCTTCGCCTGTGTCATGGTATTGGAGGCAGAGTCCTCCTTTCTTATTAACATCCTAAAATCTGTCTAATCGACCAATACATTCACCAGGCACTTAGTAGATCCCTGATTACATTACCCTTCTCTTTCAAAGATAAACTCAAGTACGTTGAGTATGTTGATCACTTACTCTTAAAATAACCATAAGCAGGGGTAGATTAATAACAATATACTCCCCCAAATATTGCTCAACTTATCTGGCAGGGAGATGACATTACACAAGATGGAAACAAACTGTGCAGCAATTAATTGGTGGATTTTTATGAATTCGGGGTCATTGTCACCTTTAACCTATGAAAGTTATTTTACAGAGATGTTTTTATGAAGAAATTAGCTGTAGATTTTTCACTTTATAGCCAGAATAATCTATGAACTGATTTTCTTGTTATTAGTCCGATAGACCCTTTAGAAATACCGGTGTCATCTATGTTATGAAAATTGTTAAAAATATTAAAGTTACACGAAGAAAATGTCCTTGAAATATCAAAATATCATATTCCATTTCAAAATGTAACACTGAAGAAAAGAGCAGAACATAGAATTATTAGATTTAATTTGATGTAGTTGGACTGTCCCCACCAAGAAAATGTCATTTAAAGAAACAAACTTTTGGATCTCGTATAAAAGTCAACCCTGGATAAAGAAAATGCGGGTACAGGCTGGGCGTGGTGGCTCATGCCTGTAATCCCAGCACTGTGGGAGGCCGAGGTCGGCGGATCACCAGAGGTCAGGAGTTCAAGACCAGCCCGGCCACCATGGTGAAACCCTGTCTCTACAAAATATACAAAAATTAGCTGAGTATGCTGGTGCATGTCTGTAATCCCAGCTACTCGGGAGGCTGACGTAGGAGAATTGCTTGAACCTGGAGGTTGCAGTGAGGAGATCATGCCACTGCACTCTAGCCTGGGAGGCAGAGCAAGACTCCGTCTCCAAAACAAACAAACAAAAAGGGCAGTACATATACAGCATGGAATATAATACTATGCAGCCACAGAAAAGAATTAGATCATGTCCTTTGCAGCAACATGGATGAAGCTGGAGGTCATTATCCTAAGTAAATGAACACAAAAACAGAAAACCAAATACCACATATTCTCAATAAGTGGGAGCTAAACACTGAATGCATGTGAATACAAAGAACAAGGAGCCAGCAGCAACTAGTGCTGGGGAACTTTGAGACTCTTACGTGATAAATCATGAAAGGGTGTATTGGGGGTGTTACTTGCAAGTATGTTTTGGGAGGTTTTTGGGGCACACATGCTCTGGTTGTACATGCTAGTACACATACCATATCCCATTGGCATCTAAAATCACCACCCAGGGGGTGTGTATGTGTTAAACGCTATTACAGTGAGCAAAAGAATACAGCAAGTTTTCGGAGGAGTGTGTGCATGTTTGTCAGTGGGGAAAAATCCCTAGTGTGGTTATCTCTGGCAAGGGCCTGATAAAGTCCCCTTTGGGGCTAGAGGAGCCCAGCCACAACGCCAGACATAATCAGCATGGCCAGTGCAGTCATTGTCTGTTTTGCTGACTATCAGCCAGCAGCACTGACTCAGTGAAACAGCATCTCCAGGACTTTTCTTAGGAGACTCCCTTGCCTACTGATTGCTGGCTATCTGCCTACTCCAAGGGAACCAGAAAAATCCTGGCAATAAAACAGATAACCATAGAAGGAAATTTATATGACTTTGGGATAGGCAAATAGTTATGATACCTGAATCCAAAGCATGTTTCAAAAAGAGAAAAGTGAACTTGGACTTCATCAAAATTGAGTTATTGCTATATTCTGGATATGAACCCTTTGTTTTGAGTTGCAAATGTATTTTCCTTCTCTGGATTACCTTATTACTCACTTCAATGGTAAATTTTAATAAAAACAAGTTCTTTTGGGTATAGTTTATTCTTTAAAACTTAGTTTATATTTTTACGTCCTGTTGAGGAAATACTGGCCTACACAAAACTATTACGATGCTATACGAGGTTATTATCTATAGAATCATTATTTTACCATTTGATTTTAGATCTGTTTTATCTGAAATTGATTATTGCATATGGTATGAGGAATGGGTTAAGACTATTTTATTTGAAATCTAATTGACACAGCACCATTTATTAAAAATAGTGCTGCTTCCTCATTGCTTCACAGTAGTATGTCATAAAAGTTTGTCAATACATATGTGGGTCTATTTCTGCACTTCAATTCATCTCCATTGTTCTATTTCTCTCTACACACACAAATACCATGTCATGTGGAGTAATGTAGTTTTATAATGCAGCCTAGTATCTGGCGAACTAGGTTTTCCCCCTTTGTTCAAGATTTTATTGGTTATTGGCCCTTTCTATTTTTGTATTTGTTTTGTAATCTTTTCAGTTTCCATGTGCATTCGAAGTTACGATTAGCATTGAGTTAAATCTATAGAGAATAATTGACACATTTGCAATACGGAGTATCCCAGTCTTCTATTTTTCTTATTTTTTTAAATTTCAGGTTTTATAGAATGAGAAACTAAAATTGAACAGGAACACAAAAGGTGTTCACAAATTCAAGAATCATATTTAAGAAATGTTTAACCTCAGCAGTAGCTGGGGAAATTTAAATAGAACTGCAATGAGATATACTGATACAAAATTACCAAAATGACTGAAATAGACTACTAATGCCACATGTTGATGAGGACATGGATCAACTGGAAGTCCCACAACTAACTTGTGGAAATATATAATTCAGACAACTAAAGGGTCGGGCATAATCTACTAAATGTGAAAACGCACATTTCTTACCACCTAGCAGTTCTATTGTAGACATATAAGTTACAGAAATACATTTCCCAGTTTGCAAATAATAGGTATATATGAGACTGTTCACAGCAGTTTTATTTGTGATAGCCCAAAATGGAAGTGACTGATATATTCTCATGATGGGATATTACAAAGCAATGAAAACGACCAAATGATAGCTACACACAGTACACAAGATGGAGTTGTTGAAAGATATTTGAGTGAAATAAATGAGACAAAGTATACCTACTATTTCAATTACATTTCAAAAACGGGCAAAATGTTTCCATGTGTTTAAAATTGAAGAGAGTGGTTAACTTTTGAAAGGAGCAAGTCAGTAAAATGCATAAGAGACTCTTCTGAGGTGCTCACTGTTCCATGTTTTGACCTGATAGCTGTTATACATGTGTTTACTGTAAGAAAACTCATCAAGTTGTACACTTACATATAATTTTCTATATGCGTATTACACTTCAATTTCAAAGAGGAACTTAGGGGAAAGTAAACCTGACCTTACAACCTCCAAAACTCCAAACAAGGGCTATATATATCAATCTGATCATAGACCCCATGTTTTCTAATGAAATTATTAAATAAATATAAGTGAATATAAAATCAGAATATGATTAATATCATATGAATCTCTTCTTGGAAGGCAACATTTCTTATAGAAAATAGAGAACCTCCTAATGTTTTAGGAGGGAAAAGGCCCCAAAATAATGGCTTAAATTTGAGGAGTTGTTCAAAAGCAGATGTTAATGATGCTTTCATCTGAGCTAGGGCTTTAAGGGGGAACTGCATAAGATACTGGCCTCTGCGTTAGAGGACAAAACCTCAAGATGTTCTCATGCAGAAACCAAACTTAGAACAAAGGAACCTTTACCTTCGCCTGTGGCTGAACGATAACACATGGATGTTCAAAAGCAAATGCAGGTCAGGTGCGGTGACTCATGCCTGTAATCACAGCACTTTGGGTGGCTGAGGTGGGTGGATCATGAGGTCAAGAAATTGAGACCATCCTGGCCAACATGGTGAAACCCCATCTCTACTAAAAACACAAAAATTAGCTGGGCGTGGTGGCAGGCGCCTGTAGTCCCAGCTACTACTGGGAGGCTGAGACAGGAGAATCACTTGAACCCAGGAGGCAGAGGTTGCAGCGAGCCGAGATCCTGCCACTGTACTCCAGTCTGGCCACAGACTCCGTCTCAAAAAAAAGTACTTTAGTCTGATTATTAGGAAGAATAAATCAAAATGCTCG